ACGGAACAGGCGGAACAGGGACGTGGAGGTAAATCTTGTTAGTAACTCATTACTTTGAGAACTCGCAAGATTTTATGACTTAGGGGTTGGGTAAAGGATCTGCATATGTAGCACAGCGCGCCAAAACAAAGTAGGTTTTGTGCCATCTTAGTTAAATATGCATCGTTAACCTCATGGGTCTCGTGTAGAGATGCCGACTACAAGCACATAAAGACACTTCTCGAAAATATGCTTTCCGCTAGGAATATAGTTCGATTTTACCTGCGGCATTCATTTTAAATCGTATTTTATTAGCTCTGTTTCAGTTGTTACGCCTCAGAATTCTAAGATTGCATTTCGCAATCTAAGTTCGGAAATTTTAATTTTCTTGATAATAAAGTGTGGCAAACTATCATATACTCAACATGCTTAAGTAGTATCCTAGTACGCGCTACATAATATCTGCGTCCATCTTATTTTTATTTTCCTTTATAAATGAAGCGGTGGTACCGTAAAACGAAAAAGTTAAATTGTGCCGTGTGTGAAGAGAAGCAACTGTTGCCTTTTCATATACAACCGGAGTATGTAGGCTTTCTTCTACATTGGCATCTATTTATATATGCTTTTTTATTTAAGGTAAACATTTCCAATGCAATGTTTCACTTTTCGTTCACTGAAACCTAGTTTTCTTTCAATAAATTTGACCGAATTTCACTTATTAATGGACTAGGCACTAAGACGTTAGAAAGCGTATTTGAACGTCTTATATTACGAAATTTTCTGTTTGATCACCAGCCTAGATAACAGGTCTGGCAAGTGTGGCATACAACGTCCGTAAGTAGAAGAAGGAAAGCGTAGTAGTTGCTGCGTGGAATTGGCTCCAGAACGCCATTTTTCAGACTAGTCTGGCGCCTGCCGTCACCAGCAAACGTCTATGGACTCTGTTTGTAAATTAAGACGGAAGCAAACGTTAGTACAGCTAAAGGCTTAAGGTTTTAACATATTGCAGGGAAATCTGTATTTTGTAGTATTACCGAAGCCTTTCGTGTTCCAAAACTTTTACCAAATATATGTAAAATGGGGTGTAACTTGAACAGGTATTACCGTAAAATCATTATGTACAATCAAGTTGGTCAATAGCGTTATTATCACAGTTCAACTTTTGTTTTTCGCCCCAGACTGCATCCTCCACTGAGCCGGAATCAGCGGAGAAATATCCTTCTTCTGTCGAAAGTGAGGGTCTTTGTTCAGAAACTGGTGATATGGTGCACGAATCACCGTCTCATTTACTCCACATGAGACGTCGACAAAGGCAAGACGATGAACGCCTTCTCTTAGCTGATAAGGATACTCCCAAGTTCGAACGAACAGTCGTCGCCCAACCACCTCAATTACCTTCTGCTGCCAAGGCCGTCACCTGGACACAGCCGGAAATGGGATCACAAGAGAAATCCAGCCCTATCCATGGATATGGGGATAGGCAGGTTGTTAGGCCTATCTATGCACCCGATCGCGATGACCAGTCCAAACAAAAATCGTCCGAAGTCTTCGTGATTGATCTCAACACGATAGATAGGATAGGTGATGTGCGTGCCATACCACTCCCTAATTTTCTCTTCCTAAATCACTATTGTTAATATCTCCAGCCTCAAACGGACGCACTCAATAAATTGGTAGTGCGCAGTAAAATGGGGTTAGACCTCAAAACTGCCATGCTACTTTATAGGAAGCAATACAAACGAATATGGCAATATGCTAAAAATGTCATTTTCGTTTCATGAGCTTTATAGGTTTTTTGTAACGTTTTTAGTATACTAGAGTTTTCATTATTTGCAGACGTTGGGGTATTTTTCGTAAGTGTAAGGAACCGCACGTTTGGCTGGCGACCTCTTTATGCTCCGTTTTTTTACTCTAACATATGGTTCAGTAAAGTTGTGAGAACATTTCTATCCCTTATCATGACCTGATATCTCTCATCCTTCAAAGATACGTCAGCTGGTCGACGTTCATCGATTTAGTTAAATCTATCCAAATGAATCTAAGGAACTTAAAAAAGTTAGGATCCAATTCCGCGTCAACCGATTGGATTCGATGGAATACCGTAGTCATCTTTTTATGAAACTTACTTAAGAGCCTTTTTCACTTCCGATAATGGGTCTGCCTGGTTCGATTTTCTTTTTCTGTCATGGCCACCGTTCAGGCGACTACTGCAATTATTAATTCCTGTCTCCCTACATACAAGGTTATTTGTACCTCGCATGTACAGTGCCTGGAAAGAGGAGAGGAATGTTTTGGCCTGCATGATATGCATGTAATTCAGTTGGCATTCTTATTGGTCAACCATGTATGCACGCCATCTTCACGGTTCCTTGTCTATGGTTGACAAGATGAGGCGTTATGTAGTCTAGACTACATGTTCTGAACGTTCAGTAGATAGGTGGTTTACTTCTGTAGTTCTAAATAATTAAATAAAACTTTCAGGGGATGTAAATCCAACGTCTTTCGGCAGGTAGTATTCAATTTCCTGTTCTATTTAAACTTTTTCGGGCCAAATGCTACTACACTATCTACTGGTTGAGGCCTCCCCAGCCTGGATTAGATTTAAACGAACTGATGCCCATAAATAGGTCCATTTATGCAAGTGGATATTTTTAATGGCTGCTTAAATATTAACGATTGCTTGTGAGGGCGGGGACCTGGAACTTTATGGCAAAACAGAAAGCGTCCGAACAGAACGGATAGATGGACCC